TCTTATGATCCTCTCCCTATTTAAGAAAAAAACCACTCAGATAAAAACTATTTGGCTTATCTTTCATCGGATATCCAAGATGTCATCATGCAAGAATGGGATTATAGTTAATTCCTCCCTTTGTACCAAGAAGAGGTATGTTGGGGAAACTACCACAACTATCGAAAATCTCCACATCATAGTAAGCTTGATGATACCAAACAATATCTGAATGAGTGAGGGCCATAATCTTTGGTGCCCAACGAGGTTCCTTATTGATATCCCAGAAAGCATTGAACATTGGTAAGTGAGAAATAAACCACTGATACAGCAAAGACGTGCAACAAATGATGATCCCTCCATGATAAGATTCTCGAAGATGAATGGAGTAATAAGTATCTCCTAATAATGTAGGGACTGGATTTCCAATGAAAAAGATCCTGATGGCATTGATATCCACAAATTTGTTGATGTTAGGATATAAGAACAACCCATAAGCAAGCAGAGCAAAGACGACCTTAAAAGCAACTATATTCTTCATCCTAGAAAAGTAGAGAGATTTCTCCAATAAAAATTGAGCGAGTAATCCTTTAATTCCTCCTTTTGTAGTCATGTGGGCCTCAATCTCAGACTTCCCCAAATGAACCATAGTAGCAATCTCATGAGACTTTGGCTCCCCCTCTAAACCGGTGAAAGGAACACGATCGGTAATAGGTAAATCCAGTAGGTAAGAGTACTCCTCCAATGTAGGCATCAAGTGACAATCAGGGAAAGTAAAGCATTGATACATCAGATTATAGAATTGGACCAAAGTCGAGAAAATACCCTCCTTCATCCTGAGCTTCATAAGAGACATGATGGACCCATACTTCCTCCAAAAATCTGTAGAACTCTCAATCTCAGGAATCAGACTCATCAACTCATCTAGCTTGGGATCCTTGAAACTGTAGTTTCGAGTCTTTATTTTTCTAGAATCCATGGTCAAAAAGTACCTGAGATATTCATAAAGAGTCAACTTTAAGTCCCTTGAAACAAAATGTTTTAAAGGATGCTCATAGGTGCATGAATGCGTGATACAACAATCACACACAAGATCACAAACATGGGGGTTCATAGGTTATACGTCATGAGAATGAGGTCAAAGGTACTACCCACAAGGTATGGTCTAAAAGCTTATCACCTTCCGAACAAGGTTCTAAGAGGTTTCCAGAGTCTACATCCTTCCTTCGGATATTACCAACGTCCCGATTGACTCAGTAATTAGTAATATCTCAGGAAAAACTCGCCTGAGTGTAGTATTGCGTGACAACCATTTCTGGATTACTCCGTCATAGTTTCCGAACTATACCTAAAAGGCCAAGATGGGTTAAAGGTTCTACAATCCTCAGTTTTAGCAGGCTCCCAGGTCGAAAGTAGCACGTCTTCCCGATTACTTGGTAAATGACACTACAGTCAAAGAGGCCTCCATTGAGTGGGGGATCTCATGTCTCCTTTTTTGGGAATACTCCCTCAAAGTTAACATGACTATACCACCCGTCCTATCTTAAGTTTTCCCAATTCCGGGTAGAGGACTTATAAGAAATCACCAAGCACCCTGAAAATTAGGAAAATCCAGACAAACATATATACAATATATAATATATAACAAATAATAGAACATACACAAATAAACAAAGATAGGCTCAAACCACTTAGAGATGGACCATCAATTGGTCGATCTTTCCCCAGTGAAGTCGCCATTTTTTCTGTAGTGGTAGAAATGTTGAGACTAAGCCATTGGATTAACTTGACTTGCACAGATCAAATAAAAATCACCACCGCGCTTTATTGTTTCCAGAGGAATGGGAAAAGAGCGAATAACCCAATAAAAGGGGGGAGAGAATCTAAGATCAGAGGTTGGTTATGCAAAGGGAAGGTATCAACACCCTAAACATCTATGGTACTTCGTAGGAACCTCTTTGAAAATCTGTTTATTTTGGCTATAAGTGTTGTATATAAAAAATAGATTGTGAAGATGAGAAAAGAAGTATATTTTATAATTTTTGCACCCGCTGCGGTTGTGAACCTTTAGTGCCTACGTACCATCTTCTGTGCAATAGGGGATCAGGGTACTCGTAGTTCACCTTTAAAAATTTTAAAACACAAGTGTGTTAGTTAATTTTAAGAGACGTGACAACATCGTCTTATACGAGTGGAAAACATACCTACTACCCACGATTATGAGAAAGGAGAATCTGTGTCATCTCAAAGTGGAGGATATATCTTGGATTTTAAAATTAACAAATCCTAGCTCAACATCCAAGTGAAAAATATCTCACTTCACTACATATCGTAGAAGTATAGTAGCTCGCATCACTATAGGATTGACAAGAGTCTAACCTTTTGAGAAAACTTTAAAGTAAAAAGCCAAAGTGGCAAAATGGGTTGAATGAGATTAACTGAGTTTTAGTCTTCTCACAAAAATGTAAAAGTATGATTAGGTTGTTTAAAGTTTGATTACGAAAAATGATTTTTGAAAATGCGTGGACCTAAGTCCAAGTTTATTATGAAAGCTATTCAAGTTTAGAAAACAAGAATAGTTTTGAAAAGGAGGGAGAAGATTTTTGAAATTAAAGAAAGTGGCAGGAGATTAAGGGGCTAGCCTAAAGCATAAGGTAAAAGCTAGGAAAAAGAACCATCTAACCAACAAGAAGTCAACACTTGACATAATGAGTCAATATAGAATTCCCATCCTTTGGATTGAAACCAAACAAGAAAAGATAAATAAACCTCTTGAGAATACCAAACTTAGAATGCATTAAGTCTTCACAAAAAAATTGGGCAGAGTAACGACTTTATACAGATGAATTTCCAATTAAAGACAAAGCATGTAATCAAAATAACCAGCACACAAAGAAAACCAACAACCCAATATCTTGGGGTAAACCCCAAGATCTCCAGACAAAAAAGAAATAAAAGTCACAAGGTCTCAAGGTAGGTCAAGGTTTCTAATCCCAAGTCCAAGAAGTCCATAACTCTATCACGCCAAGGATAGTAACCAAGTAGTCCAAGTAATATTAAAGTTTTTTATTGTTCAAGTTGGTTATTAGGTATCTTCAAAAAGAAAATGAAAAAAGCTCAAGTGAGCAAAATAAAAATGACATAAAGATAAATGCTCAAGTGAGCAAAGATGAAAATAGCATGAAATGTAAATGCTAAAACAAATGGCGCGTAAAAGTAAAGGTGTAACGTAAAAGCATAAAGACAAAAGTCAATTGTTAATCAGTTGGAGATTAGAGGTTAGTTGAATGACCATCTTGAAACTTACATTTGAAAACTCGTTAGAAGATTGATAAAATCAAAGCCTCTAAACAACAAGTTTAAATTGCTTTTTGTCAAGTATATCATTTATTTCAAAGTCTCAAGGCCACAATAAATGATAAACGATGTTTAGATGATTCACTTAGACCAAATTTTATAAAAGTTCATTAGAGGATTGATAAGACCAAAGCCTCCTAACAATGAACCTCAAGGTTATTGGATCAAAGGTTTCAAATTAAACATACTTGGGCTTGCAAACGTGGGTTTGGGCCACGAATGATCATTTCACGAATCGGGATAAACTTTAACGCTATATTAAGCAATCGTAAGTGGACTTATATAGAAGCCGTGCCTATTTTCGAGATCGGCCAATAGTAATCTATGTACCATATGTTTAGAGAGATGATATGTAGATAATCCTCTAACAACATGTAGCACAATGCAAGAATTAGAAAAGGGAGAAGATGAACAAGAATTAAATTCCACATTTGAACCAAACAATTTAATCAAGCTATCATTAAAATCATCCATCCATTTTAGTGGAGTTAAACTCAACACCCAAGATCCAATGATGTTAACAAAGCTTGTGATTAAAATTCACATAGTCCAAGATCAGCCAACATATATACAAAAATAAAATTACATTTAACAATCAAAATAGAATGAGAAAATTGATTTTTAATTACGTTTTAAATGAAAATAAAAGGTAAAATAACAAACTATATTCAAAATATCAAAAAATTAAAACAGACCATATAAAAGTCAGAAATGATCTCAAATATTTTTATAAAATTTTTGGTAATTTTTTAAAACAGAAAAGTATTTTAAAACTATTTAAAATCACTCAAATAAGTGAAAAATGATTAAAAATAGTAAAAACTAAAATAATATTCTATAAAAATTCCAAAAAGTCAAAAATAAAGAAAATGATTTTTATGAACTTTTTCATGATTTTTAGAGGAATAATGAATTTATTATGAAATTTAGAAGATAAAATGAATTAAAAATAAAAATAATAAAGAAATTTAAACAGAAATAAAGTCAGCCCTTAGATCTGGTCAACTCAGGTCAAGTAATTGCATCAAGAGGTCCAAATTAAGGTGTATGGTAATATTGTGGTATGACATACGTATAATCAGTTTCAAACATCCTCTTCTCCGGTGGTGACAAGTGGCTTTGGTGGTAATCTCGAGGCAGGGAGAGGAAGAAACAAAAAAAAATTCATTAAACAGTGTCGTTTACGTTATCAACAACACCCTTTCATTTTTTCAATAGTTTCTCTCTCTCTCTCTCTCTATGTTATACAACATTATCATCTTTTATAAAACACACAAAACACAGAGAGAGAGATAACAACATGCCAGAGAGAGAGTGAGGGTCGCGACGGAAGGCAAGCGAGTTCGCAGTGGCGACCAGGGACCGGTGCGGCGGTGCCACCGTGAATGGTACGTTTTCCTTTTTTTTTTTGATTTTTTTGTAGTTTTCCTACTTCTTTCCCTCTTCTCATTCCATTTCTCAACTTATTCATTTCAGAAACTCAACAAACTGATGTAGATCTATAAATAAAGTTCGAAATGTTTTTTTTGAATCAAAACAACAAATAACAGAATAGGAGTTTTAATGGTGGATCCGAAATCAAATAAGGATTAGAAACCTTACGGAAGAGGGAGGAAGAAATTTCGGTGTCGAGCATTGGTTGAGGAGTGGTCCCGGTGCAGATGTCATTCGGAGGAGAGTGATTCAGACGAGAGGAATGGTAATAACAGAGGAAGATCTCCAGTTAGGGAGCTTGGCTTAGGCGATGGGGTAGGGTCCGGTGACAGTTGCGTTTTCCAACGGTGGAATCGGTTTTGCAACAAGGGCAAAAGGAATTCCGGTCAGTGAATGAATGTATTCCCCTGTGTCAGTGTGAAATGATTATTTTTATAGAGCTTAGAATGTAGGAATTTGGTGTCACAACTAGGGTTGAGGTTAAAACTCTCTTTTAGGTTGAGATTACTCAAGCTGACATGTTCATTTCTTGCCCAAAGCCCAGACGAAAATGCCTTGTTTAGCCCATAAATTCCATTGTTTTTGTTTGTTTTGACATTAATATGAATACTAAAATGGGCCTGAAATTGTATGATCTTTCTTTGGTTTATTGAACACTCTTGTGAATTATATTGAATGGATTTGGCAAGAATTGTTGAAGATTATGGGACTTGTGATGCTATTTTGGAATGTTAAAACTCGAACCTTCAATTGAACCTTTTATTGTTTCTCCGAGGAATAGATATGTGTTAACATACTCTTTTCACTTTTTTTTGTTCATGTATTGATGAATGATTGTTGATTTACAATAAATTGTGACTAGCAATGGAATCTTGAAGAATCTTTGACGAAGAAAAGAAACCTTGACGCTTTGGAAGAAAATTAGAAAGTCCAAAAAAAAAAGAATCAACACCTTGTGATGTCCATGGAATGTTGAATTTTCCTTTATTCTTTCCAACTTGTAAGACACTTATTATGTTTAGATGTGTTGTAAGCTTAGACTTAGAAACTTGTAACTCTTTGGAGATGTGATTTGAAATTGTGAGCGAACTTGTTTTCCTTGTAAATTTGGAACTTGTATGAAAACTTGAATTCCTGTGATATTGAAGCTTGTATGAAGAAATTGGATTCTTGAGAATGAAACTTGGAATGATGTCTTCAAAAACATGTTTGAAACTTTGATGAAATTTGTCTTGAAATTTTGAAGATGTTTAAGGTGCATGATTTCTCTTTTAATTAATCTTGTCACACGTGTGTTTAGGAAATTTAATTCTAAATGACAATTTCGAACCAAAATGAATCCATGGCATTGATCACAAACAAGAAAAGTGTCCATTCTCTAGTTCAATTCTCACATGTAAATCGACTTTGTATTTCAAGCAACAAGAAGAGATAACAAAGCTTCGATCACAAAGAAATCTCAAGTTCATGTAATGATTCAACATTTCGCAATCCAATTCTTGATTAACGCATCCCACCTAAAGCATCAAATTCTTTGAAGAAAGCTCGGGGTGCAATTTGAAATTGGAGGCCATAAAAATCTATAAAGTTCCAAAAGAAATCAAAGCTTTCTAAGCACAAATGACACTTGATCCTTAAAGCAAAATTGCATACCCTATGCTTTTCCATAACCCGAGACATTCTTAATCACACATGAACTTGAGATGATAAAATCTTGATTAGACCAAACTCACACTTGTCAGAACTTGATATTATTCGTCGAAGAAGGCATGGAAATAAGCACATGAACCTATCTTGAATAATCTTGAGAATTAAACAACCAAACTCTCCTTAACCAAGCTGACTGAAGTTTCAATATAGTATGACCTATGATTATAGATCATAACTCTGAAAAATAGGCCTTTGAGAATCTGCCTTGGCTTGAGCACACCACAACCTTAATCAGAGAACCGTCACCTAATTTCTTGATCGCAACCCTGTCTTACAAGAAACAAAATAAACAAGACATATATTTTTGGATTTTGGTTAGATGTCAATAAAATATAGAACACATTTATACAAGATATACAATTAGGGTGTTTGCTGATCCCTCATGAGCAAACTCAAAGATAAGAAATAAAGTAGAAAGAAATATCCAAACCCTAATGCGTGATCTTGTTGCGTTGTGATGGTATGAGATGATAGAGGAATCTTAGGGGAAAAAATTGGGGTACAACACACATTGAATGATGAGAGGCTCAAGTTCGGAGACAAAGTGATAAATCAAAAACAGGTGGATGCTGACTCATTGTAGAGTGTCAAATGGTCGAAGCTACTGAAGGTTTTGATGAAGTGATGAAGGTGTCTGAAATTGAGTACATTGAAAAGGTCAAAGTCGTTTATTCACGGACTGAAGAGGATCTCTTAGATTTTCTCCAAAGGTGTAAGCTGAAAGATTCAAAGCCCATTATGTGCCCATTGTGCCACTTAGTGTATGACGAGAAGGCTGCTAAAGAGATGCATAAGTTTAAGCCCAAGCCTGATGGAAAGAATAAATGGTCCTGAGATAGACAAAGGTATGCTATTAATAAGAAGGGCATTCCTTACAAGGTCCCTAACACGAATTCTGGGAACAATGGAGGTAGAAGAAAAATTAAAAGTTCTCATCAAAGGCACATGTAGGATAATATGTGCGACATAAAGAAAACAACAATCGAAATGGTGGAGGACAAATAGGTTCAGATTAAGGTTCGAGTCAACAAAATGGTCCTCGTGGGTCTAGGGTGTACAACCCCAACTACAATGGGACTAACCCCATGACTATAACCCAACGGAGGCGATATCAACACCAAAAGAAGGCATGTCGAGATGCTATAAATTCCACTAGTCAGGAGAAACAAGGAACAACCAAGGAGGTGGTGAGGAGGCTAGCGAAAGAAAGGGTATTCTCAACACCACCATCGGTAGTTCCAAGAGTCGAAGTAGTCAGGTCACTAGTAAAGCTATACGAAAAATACTCATAAGAAGCTTCCTAAAAACAAATAGAGTCGCCACCTAACTTTATTTATCCCGAAAGTAGGCAAAGGAAAATATAGAGAAAACCTCAAAAAGGGAAAAAGAACATGGTCTCGCAACCAAATCTCGGGTAAAGGAGTCAATTACACAAGGGGAATGTATTAGCACCCCTCACGTCTGTGATACTCCATGGGATCCACTCTTGTTATTCTTATCAATGGGTGTGTATATATCTACAACTTACTTGCTAAAGGATAATGTATGCATGAATTCATTGGGAAAGATAAAAGATTTTTACTAGTGTGTTTGCCTGAGCTTTGCAACCCCATGCCTACGTATCCTCGGAAGGAATCAGAACATTGTAGTTTTTCTTAAAAATGTTTGTTTGTTGAGTGTTTTTTATGAACAATGTTAAGTTCACATTCTAGTAGTTAGAACTTGTCTGTTTGAGGTAGAACAGAGTTAACATGTCCTTTTTGAAAAGTTTTTAAGGAGAAAAACAAGTGAAAAAATGATTTGGATTTGGTTTGTGTTTTTGTTTTTGTTAGGAGAGATATAATAAGTGGACCCTCATCTAAAGAGACACTCATCACCTTCACACCTTTAGTTTTGAAAGGATTTTGAATATTGTTAAGTGTTTTTGAGTTTTGATTAAGAAAATGTTTTAGTCTTAAAGAATGAAATGCAAGAAAAAAAGTCTAAAGGGAGACTTGAGATCTTAATGTTGTCATACAAAGTATCCCTAAAGTTGAGATTGTGGGGAATCTAACCTAATGTTGTCATACTTGGATTGAATCCTAATGTCTACGTGGTTCTAATCTTAACCAAGGGTTTTAAGATAAACTAAGTTCTTAAGGGAGCATGTGAATCAAACAAGTACTAAACAAACAATTGAATAAACACCAACGAAGTGAGTTGAATAACTAAAGAAAATGGTCATTATTAACCATAAGAGCATATGATTCTCTTCAAACAAACAAGACACTAAAAGTGTCACAAGTTTAAGTTTGAAACACAAAGACAAGTTTAAGACATATACATGATAAATTTGAATAAAAACCCTAATTAAAATGTCACATATGTACATTTATCTCACATTGAAACCCTAAGCTAAGATATGAAGTATACGTCAAAGACATGTTCATAAATTCACGGTGGAAACAAATATGTTCAAAACAAAAGTGAAACCCTAATTTCTAACAAGTTTGAAACAATACTAATATTCATGATTTTTGAATGAAAAGAAATATTATGTTCATAGTATCAATGATATAAACATGGTATCATTACATAGGCAAACAAATATTTCATTTGGAGATGTCAAATATTCATATTCTTCATGGCGAAAAAAAGTTGGAAAAGGTTAAAGAAAAGATACATAGAAAAATATTAACTAAAATCATATTTTTGATTTTTTTTAATGTAATTAATAATAGGGTTAAATATGTTTGGTATTTTGAAAATACAATTTATGACAATAAAATCAGTAAAATAAAAATAAAATAAAATAAAGAACATAGTTGAAAAGAAGTAAAAGAAAATGAAGTTGTAAAATATAGAAAGAATGAAAAAGTGATAAAAATAAATGTTTTGTTATCCAAAGGGTTTAAACCCACACCCTTTTCATTACTACATAAAAACCATGCCACTGGGCCAACACGCTGACTTGGTAATAATGCACAATCAATAGAAAAAAAATAGGGAAACAAGTATCTGAATGCAAAACAACTAAAAAATATGGAAAAATGCAAAGGGGGGTTCACTATGGTCAACCACACACCCTTGGGTATGCAAGAATGTCTTTAACCAACACTCTCTCCATTGGGGCACTATGCCAATTCAAACATTCAACGCCTCCAACAAAACAATTATCAAAATAAGTTCTGAAAACCGAAACAACTTCATCTTCTTTCTCATACTGTTACCGTAACTTTTTTTCAAAATTTCCCATCATGGATGAATTGCAAAAACTCCATTTCTCAACCAAATTAAAAAATGCAAGAACCATACTTGCTTATTTTTAGAGAGGAATTCAAATATATATTTACTTTTAATTAATATTCATTATACAATTCAAATTTTATTACCAAAAGTACGAACTCTAAAATTAAAATCACAATTTACTCAATATTTAAGCACAATAAAAACCAACAATCATAGGGGTTTAAATCCCCATATAATATACTACATATTTGCTTTAGAAACTATTTGAAATGATGCACAAATGAATGAGTTTTAAATTGAGAAAACTCACCTTGTAAGTGGAGATGGTGAATTCAGATTCAAGCACTCTTATGGGCTAGAATTGATCCTATTAGCTTCCTTGATGTTCTAGAAACATGTTGCAATGCTTAAATTACCCTGAAACCTTGTGAATTTTTCTGACCAAATCCACTTGAAAGTGGAAAAGTGACACTTGAAGGGAACAATTGGAGTGTTACAGATGCAAACTAATGCATACAGTAACTTATGTGATGTTTATGGATGGTGAATGTGAAAGAAAAATGGAATGTGATGGAGAAATGAAAGAGATTCGAAAATTGGAAGTTTAAAGGTTCAACAATGGTGTTTTTGTGTGAAACTTGGTGTGTTTGAGCTATGAGGCTTGAGGCTCTATTTATAGTGGATGCAATGAGTTTATGGAGAAGATTTCCTATGAATCAAGTAGAATCCTGACTTAATGAAGATGATAGTCCTTCTTCTTTGATATGATGATCCAATCATTTGAGAGATGATTCTCTCCTTCTTAAAACCATGATTACAAAGAGATTATGATTCCATGCTTTCAGGAACCAATGATATGAATGATTGTGATTCTAATGCAAATGAATGTGAAGCATAAGTCAAATGTGATTGAGATCTATAGGGAAATTTTGTGGTGCAACAACCAGCAAAACAAGACTAAGCCTAGCCCCTGCTCTTAAGGAAGAGGAACCCAAGGAAGATAAACAGAATGAAGAGGACTAGGAGTGGTGGAAGATGAATTTGTATACCCATAGGATGATGCCAACATCGTATGCAATGTGGTATATGTTTTTCCCATTGAGTATGATGTCGTTACAGAGATAACAGATGACGAAGAGGACTCTCCGACATAAAACATGGATGGCCACAAACTGTTGTGCTTCTATGTAATCAATAACGAATGCTTTGAAGAATAAAATGCTATTTTTTAAAAGCCATATATAAGGATGAAGAGTATCTTAAACCCCTTTTTATCAAGGTGAAAATTGACAAT